CCTGCACCCCATGCGCTACGCCCGCATGTTGGCGGACAAGATCTCGCAGCACAAGGCCAACGCCTGGTTGCTCAACACCGGTTGGGTTGGTGCTGGCGCTACCACCGGTGGTAAGCGTTGCCCTCTCAAGTACACCCGTGCCATCCTGGACGCCATCCACAACGGCTCCCTCAACGAGGTCGAGTACGAGACCTACGATGTGTTCAACCTGCACGTTCCCAAGAGCTGCCCCGGTGTTCCTTCCGAGCTCCTCAACCCCAAGAACAGCTGGACCGCCTCGACGAACTTCTCGGACGAGGTCAACAAGCTTGCCAAGCTGTTCAACGACAACTTCGGCAAGTACGCTGACCAAGCGACCCCCGAGGTCATTGCGGCCGGTCCGGTGCCTCAGTAAATTGTTTCGCATTCTGATTTTACATTTCCTTTTATCTGCTTTTGATATCTTGCATGGCGTGTTGCGTTTCCAATCATGGGTCATTTGAATCTTCCACTACCATGTGTGGCCTACCCCGGCCGGCGGGGAAAATACCATTGGCATTTCCTTTTGGGTTTTGGCTTCTTTAGAAGTCGAGGTAACGATTAGAAATTGAATTCAAAATTATACCTTTATATCATCTAGAAGTATTCAATCTATCCTAGCAACCACCGTAGCAAGCCTTCCTTGAATCCACAGCGGGTCACGGGGATGAACAGGGGGTCGATCCTTGCTCCACATGTGATCGCCGTTTAGCGTCTGCAACTCGCTCGTTGCTTTTCCGCAACGCTGCCTGCCATCCATCCGTATGCTATCTGCAACTGATTGCTGTGATGCCCCGACCGTAAACCTTTTGTGATTTATACTTCTAATCTATGTTTCGAGACGATCTAGAGTCAAAGCATCAGCAATCTACCTTCTGACACCACCAGCAGAAAGACAGTCCAGGTTCCGGTCCAACTCCGGGTCTGTCACCCACTTCGCGACATGGTTCACGCACCTCTCTACCAATTATCATGATAATGGCCGATCTTGTGTCAGGAAGTCCAACAGTCTCATGGAAATGCGAATTATTCACTGCCCACCCTTCACCCTATTCGGTTGCACGAATCAGAGCTGCTAGCTGCACGCTGACGCGTTGAACTTTGTAGACTTGCATCAACGGACGCACTTTAATTTCCAAGGAGAGACTCTCCAATGTGTGGCCTAAATTTGCTTTTCCTATACTTTATGACATGCGACGTGCCTTGCCATTAGAACTACTGATGAAAGTTCCCCTCTCACAATGGCAAACCCAGAGGATCCGCATACAAGCGAACCACGGGCTCTGCTTGGTGAGAGTTTCAGTGAAAGATATCTGTCATAGTGCATCTATGCTGTCGCCATGAGAAAGGCTTGAAGACAACAACATCATAGACAGCCTCTTTTCCTCTCTCCATCCTCTCTCAAATCCCAGTGGGAGCTGGCGTTATTATTGCCAGTGTAAGTTTATTACTGTTTGCTCATTTTGATCCTGATGAAAATGTAGCTGACATCCGCAATCCAAGTGGGAACGAAGAATCTCCTAACCGTGACGAGTCCAAAAGAACATGCCAAACGGACTAAAACCATCGGACCTGGTTTCTCAAGTACCACTATGTGGGAATGCGAACCGAATCATCTGTCGCATGTTCCCAAGTTCCGCGATTCCCTCTATCTCGCGCAATTGTACCCATGACCATGTCGGAATAGTGCAGCTACTTTGCCTTCGACGTGATCACCGATCTTATATTCGGCAAGGCCGGTAATCTGCTTGGCAGCCAGCATTTCCAATGTACGGTGTACGGTGCCTTGGGGATGATGAAGCGATTATTGCTGCTAATGTATGCGCTGTAGGCGTTTCTCGGTCGGCTGGGCGAGAAGTTGTTCAAGGATGTTCGAGGGATGAAGCGATATCATCGGCTGGTCAATGGCATGATGGCGGACGCGGCGAGTATGTCCGGACACGTCTTCAGTTGGTTGACCAAGGCCCACGACAGTGCCACAGGCCCAGGATTGACTGATGCAGATGTATATTTTGAATCAGTAATGCTGGCTGTTGGTAGGTCTCCCGCTTCGGTAGATGATCAACACTAATATACCCAGGTTCGTATTTCACTCCCGTCAGTCTGTGCGCGAATCTCTACCTGGCAATCTAAGCACCGCATACGAGAAACTGGCGCACAAAATATGGAGCGTGTTTCCCACGCCGGATGACATCCGCAGCAGCCAATCGATGCAGCGATGCACATACTTCCAAGCCTGCATCAAGGAGACCCTACGCAACTCGCCGGCCGTGGCAAGATGCCCGTACCGTCCGGTCGAGAAAGGCGACACAATCATAGTGGACGGCCATGATTCCAGTCGGGTGTTGCGTCGGTACAAGCATTTATAGCATCCACCACAACCCGTTGTATTTCCCTCGCCTGGACGAATATCTTCCCAAGAGATGGCTGTTCAACGGAGCAGAGTCAAGGACAGAAAAACTCGGCGTTATCTCGGTGGCATCCACGATCTCGCAACGCACGCGCGCGTGCATCAGGCGACATCTAGCGCAGCTAGAGCTCTAGCTGGCGCTGGTGAGCATCATGTGGAGCTACGACTCTTGACGGCCAGCCACGGCCGCCGAACAGACACGCGGGAGCGGGCATTGGGCGAACAAATTCGCAGGAATTTGAACTCTACGAGCACATCATCAGCCAGAAACGAGGGACGATCCTTCATTTGGGCCGCGCGGGCAGACAGAGCAAAGGACAAACCAAGTCGGCTATTCCGCCGGATACAAGGAGCAATATAGGCCGCCAGATCAGTAGGTGATAGCATGCAGATGACAATTGTTCCGATATGAGACGGGCATTCCAGCGAGAATCGGCTGTTTTCTTTGCAGCTCGCTTGTGGCAGGTAGTCCCCACAGACAGGATCGTAGTCTAAGCCCCAGTAGCTAATCCGGCTGGGGGCCTGGACCTCCTGACAGGGTAACCAGCCAGTCAGGAAGCTGATGATTACTCCTTGCTGGATCCTGTCCCGGGAGAGTACCCGAGGGTTAGAGATGAATCTCACCGCGCGCGACTACCGATACCCGCCTCGCCCGCTCCGGGATCCCGAGACGTGCTGCCGCCAGGGGGGAGCGGTTGCCGCGAAGGTATCCGTCGCCCCAGTCCATCCACTATCTAGTACTCAGTATGGAGAAAAGGGGTGTCTTATTGGAATAGTTGGGGATCGAGAGGACCCTTTTTGGAATTGTAATTACGATACCGCGTGTATTGTCTACTAGCTTTGATGGGTCTGTTGTTGTAGGTAGATGTAGATTCCCAACATAGGAGTACGAGACTAGGAGATCAGTGCTCCGGGATATAGCCAACAAGTTACCGCCAACCGAGTCATCCACGTTCCCGGCTACTTGACTGGCATCCTGCTATTCGATCAGAGATAGTTGCTACGCCACTGAGTAGTCATCACTTTGTCACTGAAGTGAGGACGGAGGAGATCTTCTCCGGCCGACAGTGGCAGACACAAAGGGGGAGAAGGGCCGAAAGTCGGAGGAATCGGTGGAAAGGAGATAATGCAGCATTTAGGATGGGATCTGGAGATGATTATTCCGGGGATGCATGATTGTTATTTGTAGATGATATTGTGATATCATGTGTCTACTGTCTTGTTTCTAGCAGGCAGTGCTACTACATAGTAGCTGGTATACCGGTGTTGACGTCGAAAAAAGAATATGTTATATGACCAGATATCTCCGAAGGGACAGACAGTACCTACCTTAGACTGATCGGCGAGACCAAGCTTTGGGAATATTTCCCATTCACAGCATTTATGACTAATCGCTAGTCAAGACTGGGGAAGGAGGAGAGATAACCTCGGGAAGGCGGCAAGAAGCAGCGCAAACCGGACCGTTCTCGTGGTTAGTCCCGATGGGGTTTAGCGGGGGTGTGGGGAGATACGGTAATTATGTATGATGGACGATTATTCCCCGCCATGACGTTTTGGTATTAGTAGCTGTTTGTATGGATTTCTGGATATTTGCAATACACTGATAGTTTTCAAAGAATATTACTGTTATTGGAAGAAGAAGTAGAGTTACAACATCAATAGAGAAGAGAACAACTTCATCGAAGACACAAATAACATGATTAAAAAAAGGACATCAGACGTGGCAACCCCGCATTTTCCAGCTGGCGGCATCGTGCAGCAAGTACTTACTGACTGGGTATACTACCAAATACTACTAAATCCTCATCGATCGCTCGGGCCTTAAGTTTGGCATCGGCTAACAAAAGTGGGGATGGAAATAGTTACCCAGTCTGGAGAGATTTCGACTGTCAGTCAATCAAGTAGATACTGCTTGTTTCCCTGGTCGGCTTCTCGGATGGAATCGAAGGCATACAAATACATCATCGAATCCCCGTGAATGCTACCTTGACTCATGCAACTCATGCACAGGTTATAAGTATCAGAATCACCCACCCAGACACTTGCCTCCAGTTGTACAACCTTGCAAATTAATCCATTCACTCACTGCCAACTCTCGCCTCCTCACTTCTTCGTCGCCTTGCACCTCCGCTTCCCCCATCATCTGACTGTCCCAACTTCTCCTCCTCAACAAAACCCGGTTCACCACTTCCTACTGATTCTCGTCGGGCCTTTTCGTGACTCTACCGGGTTCCCCTCTTCGCCCAGCTGTGCATCCACGGTACGTTGAATCTCCCCTCCCGCGTTTCCTCACGTCACGGTCGGTCATGCTGAAAGTGCCTGGCAAAGAAAATCTGTCCTCTCTTTGCTGAGCCAGGCACTCGATTCTTTTCATGGCTAGATGGTCGTCTCTCCACTACCCCCCACACCGTGTATCGTGTTGTCTTTTATTTCGCGTTTCATCCTTCGTTCATCTGTATTCCTCCTCTTGAATCCTTCGTTCGGCGCGTCTCATCCGCCTCACCTTCCAAAGTGTTCGCATTAACCCTCGTTCACCCTCTAGATCTGGTGTGAATCCTGCTTCCTCGTCAACATGGCCTCCCCCACCGCGGCCAAAGAGCCCCAGCCCGCCGTCGATTTCCTCCATCACCCTTACACCCGTGCTGCTCTTCCCTTCGTGAATGGTGGCCTGGCCGGCATGACCGCCACGGTCGTGATCCAGCCCATCGACATGATCAAAGTCCGTTTGCAGCTCGCCGGTGAAGGTGTGCGCACCGGTCCCCGCCCGTCTGCCTTTGGCGTGGCCCGCGACATCATTGCCTCAGGCAAAGCACTTGATCTGTACACCGGTCTGTCGGCTGGACTGCTGCGCCAGGCCGTTTACACTACCGCCCGCCTGGGTTTCTTCGACACCTTCAGCAAGACTCTCAACAAGCGTGCCGAAGCCGCCAACCGCAGCGTCACCTTCGCCGAACGTGCCGGTGCCGGTCTAGCTGCCGGAGGTATTGCCGCCATGATTGGCAACCCGGCCGATCTGGCACTGGTGCGTATGCAGTCAGACGGTCTCAAACCTCCCGAGGCGCGGGCCAACTACCGCTCCGTCATGGACGCGCTCTTCCGCATCTCCAAGCACGAAGGTGTCCCGGCTCTGTGGGCTGGTGCTTTCCCTACCGTCATCCGTGCCATGGCGCTCAACGTCGGCCAGTTGACCTTCTTTGCCGAGTCCAAGGCGCAGCTGAAGAAGCACACTAGCCTGTCGACTCAGAACCAGACCTTTGCCGCGTCCGCTATCGCGGGATTCTTTGCCAGTTTCCTCTCCCTGCCTTTCGACTTTGTCAAGACTCGCCTGCAGAAGCAGCAGAAGGATCCGAAGACCGGTCGGCTCCCCTACAAGGGCGTCTTGGATTGCGCGCGCAAGGTCGTCCAGGAGGAGGGCTGGTTGCGGTTCTACCGCGGTTTCGGAACGTACTATGTGCGGATCGCTCCTCATGCGTTAGTGTCCCCACCATTTTCTATCAGACTAGTGCCCTTGGCTAACCCCAGACCCACAGGATGGTGACGCTTATCGTGGCCGATTATCTGAACTTGATTACCAAGTAGCAGCATTGATTCAACATGATATTGTTGGCTTGTCGACAACTACTTGACTTGAACTTTTTTTTCCAAATGCCGCGGTTGCTGTCGTTTGACGGTGATTATTGCACAGGTGCGGATCTGGTTGCACTGTCTGGAACAGATGCAGGAGAAGATCGAAATGCCCTAATGATTGTGGATGGAGGATGGTGTTTCGATGGATGGTTGATGGTTTCAATGGCTGTTTGTATTTATTATACCCGTGATTATTGCAACTACATAGCAGAGATTCAAATAGAGATAGGCAATAAATAAGTCTACTCTGTATGCTTCTACAGAATAGAAACATGAATGCTTGTAGTAGCTAGATAAATCACTCATCATACATAGAATCATACCCACCCTCTTCCCCTCCCCCTTCTTCATCCATATCAACCTCCTCCACATCCCCATCCCCATCCCCAACCATCGACACCGCCCTCTCCTGCTTAATCCTAGCAGCAACAGACATCCCTCTCTCCCTCTTAACCCGAATCCTCTCCACCCCATCATCCTCACCACTATCATCATCACTATCACCATCATCAACCTCAACCGCACTCCCCCTCCTCCTCCCACTCCTCTTCCTCTTCCCCCCACCACCACCCCCGTCACCACCATCCTGATCATCTTCCCCATCATCCAACATCTCCCTCTCCCTCCTCCTCAACTCCGCCATCTCCGCCCTCTTCACCCGCCTCATCAGCACAGGATCACTCCGCAGATCAAACTCCGTCAACTGCACCTCGCACACAGGACACTTGACGCTGCGCACGCGCTTCGCTCTTCCAGTTCCAGATGACCCCCTCGGATCAGGCACCATCTGATTACTCCCGCTAATCATGGTGAATATCGCCTCGCGCTCGAAACTGTGTGGGCATTTCGTGCTGGTCACGGGGTCGCGGAAGGGAAGGAGTGTGAGGGGGCATTTCAGCGATATGCGTTCAGTTTGGATGGCGATTTCGTCATCATCATCTTCATCTTCTTCTTCGGAGGGGGGTTGAGGTCGAGCGCGGGTGGGTCTAGTTTGTCTGGTGGTAGTGGTTGAAGTAGAGGTAGAGGCAGATGGATGAGATTGTGGTTGAGATTGAGAATGAGGATCTTCCAAGTGAGCGAACCACGTCGACGGATGAGGCGGAGGGGGGATTTCGTCGCCGATGTGTTTGGCTTCGTGGATGATTTTGTAGAAACCTATGTAGGAGTTGTTCGTAGAATACCTACCACCATGATTCCGTTAGTAAATAAACCTGGAAGTAAAATATTATTGGGATAGAAATGGGGATATACATACCGTCTCGTCAAACTCAACCCTTCCTACTCCTCCATCTTCCCGCGCAGCTCATCCTCGAACTGCGCCAGGAACGGCACCGCGCCCTCCTCATCTTCATCGACATCCACATCCACCCCTTCCTCCCCATCCTCATCCTCCTCATCCTCACCATGATGCCCCCTCAACCTTCTCCCAATTCCTCTCTGACTCCTCCTCACACCCCTAACCCTCACCCGTTCAGCAACCCCGCCCTCCAATCCCGAGATAACCCTCCCAAGCTCCTCCCCCCTCACTTCCGCATCAATAACCCCCCGAATAGTCTCCTCCAATACCTTCGTCGTCTGAGCCACTCTCTCCTCGAACTCTTCAATCCCCTCGTCCTCACTATCCCCCCCTTCCTCATCTACCCCCTCACCATTATTATTATTATTCTCCAAAGTATGAGAACGTATATTCCTCCTCCTCTCCCGCGATTTCTTACTCCTCTCTTTCGCGTCTGTGAGCCGCTCGTTGATCTCGCCTGCGGCGTCGGTGAGTTTCTCTTGCGCGTGCTGGAGGTGCGTTTTTAGGGTGGAGGAGGTGTGCGTTGCGAGGAGGGCGGAGAGGGCGGGTGCGGTGGTCGGTTGGTGGGATAGGGTCGTCAGGGTGCTGGTGGGGGGTTGGTAGGGGGGAAGAGGGGGGGTGGTGTCTCTGTCTCTGTTTCTGTTTCTTCCGCTTGGTCCGGGGGTGGCTGTTGGTGGTGGTGGGCGGGAGCGTTTGGGCATTTTGGTTGATTTCTTTTGGGTGAGAGTTATTTGGTTGTGGTGGTAGTGTATAATTGAGGTAAGGTGTGGGTGGTGGGTTGTGGATATAGGTGGCAAGGAGGATAGAGGAGAAGAAGGAGGGTATATGGTATATGGTGTAGGTTTCTTTGTTGGTAGTTCTTTGAGGCTATAACGATTATGGATAAAGATAAGTTGAAAGGAACGCGACGCGATGCACGGCGCTAGGCTGTTTTGGGAAGTATGGTCTTTGGGGAAGTTTATCTTATCGATATCATATCGATACCAGCTACACTTTATAGGGATAGTTATACTGTATCATAGTTGGATTGAAGCAAGTATGGATATGGAGCTGATTATGTCGATTAAATCCTATTTACCCTAATTCTAATACTATGTATCTTATCCTTCACACCTTGTAGAAGCAGAATGCATGATAGAAACCTGTCCCGTTAGCACTCTCTCCTTCAGCTGAAGTAAAACCTAAGGGTGTATACTTACTGACTGCCTCCTGCTCCTCCGGCGTCATCGTCAACTCGCCTGTCGTGCGATCTCTCACGCCCATCCGCTCACTCAACGGCCCCAGCTCCGGATCGTCCTTTTCGTCCCGCCACACCTCCATGAACGGCTTGCGGTACTGCAGCTCCAGATTGTACTCCTCCGTCAACCTGCTTCATTAGTATCGTAATCAATGTTCCATGGAATATCGAATGGACTCACGCTCGGAACGCCTCCCACGGCACCACGTACTCCGGGATCTCGCCCACGGCTTCCTCCATGAAGTAGCTATACTTCCATCCAAACGGCGGCCTGAAGATGCCATCCTCCGGCGTATCTCCAGGGAATCGCACCCGATAGATCGAATTCCCCCATTCTGCCTTCGCCTCCTCCTCCACCTCACCGTCCTCTGGCTCTGCATCCTGCTTCGCCGCCTCGCGGTCCTTGCGCTTCGCATTGAACTCGGCCACGCGGGCACTGATAATGTCCGAGTTGGGACACACGCCGATGAACCGGCCACCCTTCTTCAAACACCCCGCCACATTGCGCAGCATCTGACGAGCCTTCTCTTCACTCTCAAACGCATAGTGAATGGCAAACATAGACGTCACCACATCAAACCCACCCCCACCCCATCGCGACGCCATCATCGACCCTCCCGGTCCAACATTCGGATCTATTCCCACCTGCTGAACAATATCAACATCCCCCAACCACTCCCCAAAGCAATCCTTGGACCGGAACTCGCCATGAAACAACGGCGGCCCTCCCCTCCGTCCACCACGAGGTCCCCTGCCCGAACGCATCCCCGCATATCGCTCGCGCGCCTGTATAATGGACACCTCCGCCGGATCCAGTCCCACGTAGAGATCCACCGGCTGCGGCGCAAGCTGCCACTTCCCAAGATCACCTCCCTTACCACATCCCAGATCAATCACCAGTAACCGTTTCTCCTCCATCGGCGGCGGCCCAGTTCCATCCGCCCAGTCCTTCGTCCCAATCGCCCGCGCCACGAACTCCTCATCCGGCGAGAACTTCTGAATCAACGTGCTCTTCACCCAATTGTTGAAACTGCGCAGCCCCTTGATCTTACTCTCCGTCTTGCGCCACTCCCGGCCCCGCTGCGGAACCGCATTGTAATGCTGTCTCACGATATCCGTCACTCCCCGGCTCTGCGAGTTGCGCATCGCATCTTCTTCCAGCGCGCGCTCCCGCTCCTCCTGTCGCCGCCGCAGTGTCTGCGGGTCCACGAGACCTCGCCGCGCACCGCCACCGGGTCGTTTACGCTGACGCGCCTGCACTTCCGGCGACGGAGACCGCGGAGGAAGGGGCGGTGAGGGTGATCGGGGCCGTGGTGCTGCGCGTGCTGCTGTCTCGTCGCCATCGCGGCGCGAGTAAGCCGAGGGAGGTGCCTGGCCGCGTTTCCGCAGCTTCTGGTGTCGTTCTTCGAGACGCTTACGCTTGGAGATGGGACGGTCGTTCGCTTGGTCGGCGGGTGGCTGCTGCTCCGATGTCTCGTCCTCTAGCTTGCGCTTGTGGCTATCGGCAGCAGGAGAGCTCTGCTCAGCGTAGGCATCCGCAGAGCCAGAGCGATAGTAGTCACCCATTTTGTTTATTTTGTGTTTGCGGCGTGATTGAGAGGATGGAGGTGTCGGGATAGGAGGCTGCTTCTGCTGCTGCTCCGGTTGTTGAGAAGGCTCGATGGTGGTAGTTTGAGGAAGATGAAGAGATTCACTGGTAGAAGTCACAGTAGAATCATGAACCTATATGAAAAACCCAATAAACATCGGCAATCAGCGTCAAATATCCTGCAATGGAAAGAATATGGAACACTGAGAAATATCACGCTCAGATAGACAGACAGACGCGCAGGAGCATTTTCTTTCGGAGTCTTTTATTTGCGGGAAGAATAGTAATCACCGCCTCCGCCGAGCGTAAGCGCCACTTTAGTTCGCAGTGGATGGGCTGCAGGACTCCACTTGCTCTCTCCACTAGGGAGACAGTTCTCGAGTGGACTAAATTTAAAGAGAAATGACCAACTTACCGGTTTGGCTTCACTTGTCTGAGTTGGTGTTGCTTCGATGGAAGCAGAAGCTGACGCTGGTTCAGCAGGAACAACAGGCTGCTCCTCCCAGCGGTCTCGGGCGGGATCGTACATGCTGATGCTGGGCCGTTGGCCTGTGCGCTCTTCCTCTTTGGAGGCCATGATCAAGTGAGACGGAAGTAAAGGGATAATAAGAAACCTCCATGAAGGGAGTAGCAGTTAGACAGGGACAAAGCAGTTGAAGTCAGACGGAATTCGTGCTGCTTAAGCTGAGTTCCTTGGTTGAAACCCCTGCCTTAACCGTGTTTCCTGCCTGGCCGGATGCGGCCTGTGAATGGAGTGAAACAGTAACGGTAGATGCCTACGGTCACTACATGACAACCTACTATTCAATATCGGGTAACATAACACTGTATTGGAATCTATCTATCTATCTATCTCTTTTTGAAGAGTAGATGATACCTTGGAATATGTGTTGTGAAACAGTCTAATGGCCCCGTTCCTCCCAATCTATCTAGCGGTTCTTGTCCTTCCCCTGGTGGAAACTCAATGTCGAAGTGCCTTACAATCGTGGAAACGAGCAGTCGCATCTCCATCATCGCAAATGCCTTTCCTGCACAGGAGTACGTGCCGCTTGAGAACGCGTTCAGTGCTTCCTTATGAATGACTAGCTCTGGCTGGGTGGACCACCTTTCTGGGATGAATTCGTTTGGACGGGGGAAGTTGCGCGGGTCTTCGTGAAAGGAAATCAGCTCTTATCTTCACAGGAAAGGTTAATGATCTACCTCGTTGAACCGTATATGTCGGCACAGACACTATCATCCCTGGAGGAATATAGACTCCCGCTGTTCGGAGCCCTTCCGGTCCTGTCTCACGCTGCAATCCACTCAAGACAGCCGGACAAAGACGCAGACTCTCATTTATACACCCCTCCAGGTACGGCTTCTTCACCAACGCCGCATGAGACAGCTCCTCATCAGCTGGAACAGCAGTGTCTATCTCCTCCTGCAGCCGGCGCAGCTTGTCCGGATGTCGTGCCAGGAGATAGAACAGAGCATTGAGGGTACTGGCTGCGGTGTCGCTGCCAGCCGTAATAGCGAGCTCTGAATCGCGAACAAGATCCCCGTCAACGCCACCTATGGACTGGTCTCCCTCAGAGCTTAACTCTTCGATCAAGTAGCTGAAGAGATCCCGGCGATTAGTTTCGACCTGAAACACATCAGCCTATACCATCCACAACTGAAGAGAGACAGTAACTGCAAACATACATACCCTGCTCCTCTCCTCCACACACTGCGCACACCACTCTAACCATCTATCCGTAAACCGCCTCACTCCCACCATCCCCCTCATGAGTATAACCAGCCAGCTCGAACTCAATAAGGCACTCGCCCCGCGCCCCATCATCCTCATCATCTGCAGCATCTTTGGCGGTTCCCCATGCAGCATATTGAACGATTTCCCAAACGCAAATATCCCCATCGAGTCCCACGCAAAGCCATCAATTAGTGCCGTCGCCTCCTGTGCTTGCGATGATCGAGATTCAATAACCCGGACTATATCTTTGCAGTGCTCCAGAAGATACGGTTCGTAGCCAGCGAGTGCTAGTCATTACAGCAGCCAGTCAATATAAGATTCAAAGAACATGCATGTCAAACCTGCCTTTCGACGTAAACCCCCGATCCCACAATCTCCTCCTCTTCGAATGAAACGCCTTATCTCTCGCCATTTGCAGCGATCGATGCGGATAATGTAGATCGTAGAACGGTCCCTTGACGCATGTGGTCCCCACGCCGTAGATATCTTTGATCGCAGATGGGTCGTTGATGGATAATTCCCTAGGTTCTATTCAATCAATTGGCCCTGTACAAATCACATGGGAAGAGTGGAAGAGAGGAGGAATACTGATCCGGACAACATCCCCATACACCCCATGCATTTCCTTCACCTTGATATACCATTTCGCATTCAGCACCGTATTCTTGAAATCCCACAGCGCTGTAATCCTTGCCAGCTTTGGACCTGGAAACCCGTCCAGCGCGTGGAAGAAGTATCGGTAGATGACTATGGAAGCTAACAGCGAGAAGTGAAAGCTCAGTATTGCTGGTCCGATCCATTGAGAAATATCTCTATAGCCGAGGATAAAGAGGGCTATTAGACCGAGTGAGGGCCAGAAGATGAGGCAGTTGACCAGGAAGACGACGTGCTTCTCGAGGTCGGCGTGGATGAAGTATGTTAGGTGGGCGGTGATGCCGAGGATGGCTGAAATGAGGGATGTTGGGAGGAGGGGTGGGGTCATCGTGTTGTTTTTGGTGGGATAAGATGGTATGGGGGCTTAAAGTAATAAAGTGATGGGTTGTTTGGTAGGGGAGTGTATAGGGGATCAATAATAGTATAGGGAAGGGAAGTAACCCCTGATTGTTTGGTTGTGGATATGGGGTATGGAGACATTATGGCAGGTATGACAGCCCATGCATAAGCTCTGTTGATTAGCTCTAGCACAGTAAGCCTGTGCACAATAGGTTGATTATGAAGCGAACGCCGCCTTAGAGGCCCTGTACATAGACATTGAACACGAAGCACTGTCGCGAAGAAGCGAGTAGAAAGAATAGTGGCTGCGGTGAGCGCAGCGCCAGCATCAATCAGATTTCCTAGGCTGTCCTGAATCCTACGTCTGATAGATGTGTTGGCGAAGCAGGGATACACCAGCTGATGGTTGTCCGAATTGTAACATGGTTCATGCACGTACCCCCTCTGTGGCTTGCTTGATGCTACCACAACCTGCTCGGACTATATATATGGCATTACTACATCCGAAGCAGGCTGGACGGTATTCCAGGGTCAATGTAAGTTTTGACGATGACAGGAATATCGCACACCAATTCATTGCTCATTGAATGAACTGGACTCCAACGTATAAATGTTAATATATGCTGTTTTGATCTAACCCTATATGTATAGCACAAATTAAACCCAGAACGTATCTCAAGAAGAATGATTTCTCAACCCTCAAACCATAAGAGAAACTGTATGCCTCAAAACACTGAAAAGCTATGTCTGCTGGCTCTTTAGATTCATCTTCTCGTTCCGTCCCCAGATAGCCAACCAGTCCTGGACCGAAGCACTCGCCGACTTGAGCTCCCTGAAACAAGCATTGCGCACTCTCTCGCTCTGAATCACGGCAAGTGCCTTGCGGATATTGCGCGGTGAGCTGGTCTCCAATGCACTGGCGACCCAATGCCCTTCGGGGGCTTCCAGCGCGAGAATGATTGGATATGAGAGCTCTCGATTACGCAGATCTTCTGCAAGTGCTCCCTTGGCCTTAGCATATTCGGATGAGTAGACATTTTTGCAATCGTTCTGCAGCTGAGAGCACCACCTATCTCAAGGTCAGCTTCAGCTTCAGCTAGACTTGGTGTGATATGCAATAAACCAAGCGAGCCATACGCAAGAGTAGTCATCGTCCCGTCCATCGATTGGTCCTCCATCACCAATTGCCCCAGCAGCCGGAATAGCGCCCCTGTTTTCAATGACGCCATTTTGCGGTAGGCTGCAACTCGCTCCTCGGGAACGGTCGAAAGGCTACCCAGCCCATCTCGTCGCCAGATCAGTGACAGGTCTTGGCCCTCGAGGATCTCTTCCAGATTTTGTAGCAGGAACTTGGCTAACTTGGGGAACCGCTGCACAGTCTCATTGAGAATTTGGGTGACTCGGTAGTAAGCGCGGTTTGCTGTCTCTGAAGGGCCATATATCCGGTGAGCTGCTGGCTTGCCTTTTCGGTAGTCGCTATTGTCGGTTATCTGCTTGATGTTAGAGTGTATTTATATAGGCCCACGGTATACATACATCGTCAACTAGCATCAAACACAGGTGAATTGCATCCATTATCTCTAGAACCATCTTATATTTGGCTGGATCCTCATCCTTAAGCCTTGGAGACAGCTTCTGCACGAATGGATTCCAGTGATGCTTCCCATAGATCTGCCGGATGTAGGCATATGGGCACTCAAAGGATGTCACGGTCTCCGGCTTCTTCTTTCCAATCAAGAAAGTTTTGGAGTTTGGCCACAAAGGGCCAAATCTATCAAGGACGAGATAGAAAACTAGAGGGGCAATTCCCAGGGTTGCCACCAGAGGAAGGGGAATGGAGGCAACGTCCGGCAGTGCCGCCATGATTCGGTCCTTCCTGAGTGGGACGAAATGCAGGGATAAGAAGGTTAACGGATGACAGCGCGGTACCCCAATGGGCTCGCAAAGGGACGTTCTCCTGTCTATATATGTATGCTATAGACAGGATACTTCAGCCGTACACTCATCGTCAATGGCTCAGGGTTCTCCTCTGCACAAGCTGTTTCTCGCACAAGTTACACCATCTCCCCTTCTGTGCGGTCGAGCCGGCCAGAACGGTTGTTGCCTGACTCTATCTCTTGATAGAAGCTGACATTTGGGTATGGCGACATGCTTTAGCGGCACGGCAGGAGATACAGCCTTTGAAGCCTGGTGCACTCCCCTGGCTGTCTTGCAGGGCTTTGAAGGGCTTGAGAATAGCGCACTGGTGACACATAATTACCGAGACTCCTGGTGGTCCTACCTGGTGCGGACATCAGTCTACTTATGGAGACTGACAGACCTTCATGGCGTACCGTCAGCAGAACAGAACCATGGCGCCGTATCACTAGCTGACCGCAAGTCATCTCACTATATAAGCACGCTCAGGTCATGCAAGAGACAAGTGACTCAGATCTCAACGGCGACCAAATTCATTCAGCATTGAAGTGCCTCTTATTTTCGCTTTAATGGATGGTTTCGACCATTCTACTGCTCCTCAGGAATATAACGAGCTTAAATGGCTCGCCAATATTTTCGTTGTTGGAATGGCTGTCGGCTGGGTTGCTCACTATGTGGAAATGATTCACACATCGTTCCGGGACCGTACCTACTGCATGACCATCGGGGGCCTTTGCATCAATTTTGCTTGGGAGATTGTTTTCTGCACAATGTATCCTGCCAAAGGCATTATCGAGCGGGTTGCCTTTCTTGTTGGCATTTCACTCGACCTTGGAGTTATCTACGCGGGAATCAAGAATGCCCCAAATGAATGGCACCACTCTGCAATTGTGAGGAACCATATGACTCTCGTCTTCGCAGCAACAACACTTTGTTGTCTGAGTGGGCATATGGCTCTTACTGCCCAGGTTGGTCCTGCACAAGCCTATACGTGGGGGGCAATTGCATGTCAGCTCTTTATTAGCATAGGGAATGTATTTCAATTATTGAGTCGCGGAAACACCCGAGGCGCATCGTGGACGCTATGGTAAGTATTTGTCTGACCTGGTTTGAGAATCAGTTGTGTTGAACGTTCACTAGGATCTCGAGGTTCTTTGGATCAACGTCAGCCATTGGCTTTGCCCTTGTTCGATATTTTCGTTGGTGGGAGGCTTTTTCGTATATAAACTGCCCACTCGTGATATGGTCCGTGGCCATGTTCTTTCTCTTCGAGATCCTATATGGCGTGTTATTCTGTTCTGTCAAGCGACAAGAGAAGAGCTCCCAGCGTGGAATCAAGCACAAGGAGAGATAGATGCTTTGTTGAGGGATTGTGCGTAATAGATGCATCAGACAGGAATAAGCTGCGGGAAGATGTCATATCACCGGAATTGGTAGCCAGGAACGGTATGAAAATAGTCGCATGTGCAACACACAGCTATTTATTCTGGCGGCATGGCGGAGAAAGTTCACGGTGTTGTACCACTGCTTGTAGTGCTGTCACGAGAACGGAATTTCTGCGTGTCATGCAATAGACAGGTTTGGGCCGGCAGAAGAAAAGCATTTAATAACAGGATAAAGCAGTGTATATGCTATCTTGACACATGTGGCTGTCCTTTTAAGCTGTGTAGAATAAAGCAAGGCATACCTACCTTTCTGCCATTTATGATTGCAAGTAGACGATGGCATGATGAACAGCCACGCTTGTGACACACAGCAACTATTGGTAAAGTGCATGTACCACGAGACTGGCTTGCATAAGCCGAAGTAGCTTGACTACGCAGTTCTGCCACAATGGCAGTGCTGGATTTCGCTTGAGGGTCATTCGTTCCAGCAGTGAGAATAGCAAACACTTGGCTTACCGTGCAGTTTGGAATCTTTCTGCATTAGGTGCAATCTCTTTTGAGGTAAAGGTATCAACACGATATTTATACCATAAGTGAGCCTTACCTTTGATTGAGGCTTGGTTACTGGCGACATCCGCAAGTATGGCCAATACCCAGCAACCTCAATTTCGCGTCCTTATTGTGGGCGGTTCTGTCGCAGGCCTCACCCTTGCGCACTGTCTGGAACGCGCCAATATTGAGTACCTCATACTCGAAAAAGGAGACGATATTGCCCCGCAAGTTGGTGCCTCGATAGGTATTATGCCAAATGGCGGACGGATTCTCGAGCAACTGGGCCTGTTTGGGGAGATCGAGCGTGTGATTGAGCCGTTGCATCAGGCGAATATTAGCTATCCAGATGGGTTCTGCTTCAGCAACGTCTATCCGAAGGTTTTGGGCGATAGGTATGTCAATAGTCTCTGCGTTTACCAGTATGCGAACAAAGAAGAGAGACGGTGCTGTGGCTAAGATTATAGGTTCGGATATCCGGTTGCGTTCTTGGACCGGCAGAAGTTCCTGCAAATTGCATATGAGGGTCTGACAAAGAAACATAACGTTCTCACCCGTAAAAGGGTAGTTGAAGTGCGACAGTTGGAGCATGGAATTACTGTTGCTGTGGCTGATGGGACAGAGTATGAGGTGGATCTCGTGGTTGGTGCGGATGGCGTACATAGTCGGGTGAGAAGTGAGATCTGGAAAATGGCCGGGGAGAATCGGCCTGCATCTGTTTCGAGGCGTGAAAGAAGAAGTATCTGCCGTCCCTCACCTTCTTTGTGCTGGGTGCAATCAACACTAACATAAGCAGGCATGACTGTTGAATATGTCTGCGTTTTCGGAATCTCGTCGGCCATCCCAGGGCTCGAGATAAGCGAACAGATCAACGGGATCTATGACCATCTATCCATTCTGACAATCCACGGCAGACATGGTCGGGTGTTCTGGTTCGTGATCCAGAAGTTGGATAGAAAGTACGTCTACCCTGATGTCCCGCGGTTCTCAGACGAGGATGCCGTACAGCTCTTCGAACGGGTCAAGCACGTGCGGTTCTGGAAAGACATCTGTGTGGGGGATTTGTGGAAAAACAGAGAGGTATCCTCAATGACAGCGCTGGAGGAGGGTTTGTTTGAGACGTGGCACCATGAAAGGATGGTGTTGATCGGCGATAGCGTTCACAAGGTGCGTGGCTAAGAGAATTGAAGTGATATCGTTCGGCTTACTTAGTCTGCAATCAGATGACGCCCAACTTTGGCCAGGGAGCCAATTGTGCCATCGAGGATGCTGCCGCGCTCTCCTCCCTTCTACATGATCTCATCAACGCCCGCGGAGTTTGCAAACCGTCAAATTCCCAGGTTCAGCATCTCCTCCAGCAGTATCAGGAGACTCGATACTCTCGCATGGTAGGCATGTGTCGCACCGCGGCTTCAGTTTCTCGGATTCAGGCCCGAGATGGCATCCTCAACACCGTCTTTGGACGATATTGGGCTCCTTATGCTGGCAACCTTCCTGCTGACCTGGCATCGAAAGTAATGGCAGATGCAGAGGTTGTTTCTTTTCTGCCTTTGCCAGGGCGCTCAGGACCGGGCTGGGAGATGTACAGGCGGAAGGGAAAGAGAGAGCAGATTCAATGGGTGCTTATAATCTTCAGCTTAATTACGCTTGGCGGGTTGTGCATCTGGCTTCAAAGCAATGCTTCTTATGTCGTTGAGTAAATGATAACTTTTGTTCTCCGATCTTTCTCTGATTGAGTATGGCTGTATTCTAATTTATCGAGGCGGATGACAAAGGCTCGCTATAGCAATAACTAATGTAGGAATGAAGGATATCGAGAAGATAGACATGATGCCCAAACGCCACGCTGCATTAACAACCAGATGAGGAGTATCATGTGCAGAAGTACAGAATGATGAAAAATATCACTGCGAAGTCGGCTTCTTCCTAGGCGAACTGACGTTCAAGACCTGTCGCATGCGGCGTAACTTGGCCCACCATTCCCGGTCACTGGCCTTTTTAACTTCTGGGTTCACATCGTCCACCACGGGCTCATCCGTGGATGGTACCTCAGAGACAGCACGACTGTCTCCCGAGGTGGTCGACCGATTCAGTCGACGATGGCGCACATTGAGTGCCTGGCCCAGCAGCTCCCAGCCGGAACGTAGGCCTTCTAGTTTCTCGGTGGCCCGTCCTGTTCCACTCTGAGCCTTCCCATTCACCCAAGGACAGTAGTCCATATGCTCGTTCACCACTTCCAAAGAGTCGTAAAGAGCCTCATCCCCGTTGGCCTTTGGTTTGTACATCCACAGGCCCAATCTCCGGAAGCACACGCTACAGCCGACCAAACCAGCTGTCCCGTCCGGGACAGAGTCCCAGCCGAAGAATGCCAATATGAAAGCGTTCCTAGGAACAAACGGCTCAGGCTCAGAGTTATGTGCGTTCTCTTTCCCGTTTTCACCCTCAGTGTTGTTCTCAATGCTTTCCATGCGCGTACTTTCTCCGGGGCCGTTAAAGCTCGCTGGAAGTATCTTAATGAGTGCTTCGATATCGAAGGACTCGGGCGTGTGGATGACGTCTGCTGCCGGCAATTGATCGGCCATCTTGATGAGGTTTGAGTATCGCTTTTCGAGGCCAGAAATGGCTATGTCGGGGTTTGCTAGCGGCAATCGATGAATAGTAGCTGTAACAATCAGCTCACGAAATGGCAACCACAAATATCAGAAAACACACCATCACAGCCCTTGTTCCTCCATGGACAAGTCTCTCCGTGCCCCTTGACCAGTCGTTCCACGTATTCATCTACAAGCTTGGCTCCTGATTTACATTAGAAGCACGAAGCAGACACGGCAATTGGAAAACTCACGAACTTCCTTCCTCTCTTGCACCTTGTCGGCATCGAACCCATCCAACTCGTCCAGCTCATCCGGAAGCTTGACAACAACCGACCCACCACAGTTCCCAGCACATGTTACCCGGGCCACATCCGTACATACCCAGCCGCGCTTGGCCCATTCTACCTCACTAATTGCTGACGGTTTGGGTGCCCATCTGTCGACGCGACGAAAGGTTTCCAATCGCTCGAGAAAACGTTCGCGATCCCAAGGAACAAAGCTCGGTCGCGAGGTTGACGATACCGAAGAGTCTCTGGAGCTGGGGCGTGCGACCTTTAGAAGTGAATTTCGTGCAAGTGAGAAGTTGGGCGCATCTAGACGGGCTTTCTTCTTCGATGCGTCTCGAGCTGTTGTAGGCGCTTCGGCGGTGGCTGATTTTGTTGAGTCGGAGGTTGACGGTTTGGTTAGGGACTCGAGAACTCGATGAAACTTGCGCTTCTTCGTTTCAACGGCGTAGGACATTTTCCAGCACGCGGAGGTAATGGCGTTGTGCAGTTGGAGTGGTCTTTGAGATAAGGGAGTCTGGATCTTGGAATGGCCTCGGAGCTGGTGGCGCTAGACCCGAAATGGAGCTAAATATGTTTCTGCCTAAGGCAACGATAGGGATGTTCACCTGCAGGTGAATCGCCAGGAACTACGGAATTAGATCACATATCTTTTCTTGACATCCAATTGTGTCCGAGCAGCATCAGGTACTACTTTTTCTTTCTTATTTGTGTACAATTATGTGGCTGAGTCCACTTAGGACATCGGAAACGGGGCAAGGTTGATCGTATCTATCAGGATCTCTACATCCCCGGAAAAAGGTCATCTCTGCGAGGAATGAAAGGGATGTTTTCTTGCAGGCAGCAGAGCGGGTGCCTAGCTGTATGAACTGTTCTATATAGTTATTTAGTTCATTGTCTGTCTGACCTGAGTTCTATACCAATTCACACTTGTCATCAGGCATTCTTTATGATAAAGACCATCGTGGATGCTACTTTGTCCAGAAATCTGCAACTTACTTCTATGATTACTTCCTTATAACCCTTCTACTATTTTATTGACTTGTTCATTTATCTGTGGCTTCCCCCGGTCCTGGACAATTCATATCAGCCAAGTGGCGATAGAAGGTATCACCTACGGAGCGCCTAGAATCTCCAAAAATTATTAGCTTACATTTGTCCATACTGACAGTTTGTCACATTGTACAACCTGGAAATGGCTCTGAACAATGAGCACCTTAATATTTCAGCCGTTCAGCGTGCGCTTGCGATTCCCGAAATCTTGAGTCAGGTCTTCGCGTGCTTCTATTCATACGACAAACGATCGTGTAGTCAACTCCTTTCTTGCGCCCTCGTCAGCAAATTATGGTTCTCAGAGGCAATGCGTTGGCTATGGAGAAATCCCATGCCCTGTCATTCCCCAAGTACTTGTAGGGATGTTCTGGACCTCCTTGATAAAATCCCAGAAGCACGCCGGAATATATACGCAACATACATCAAGATCGCTACACTGAAAGACTATTGCCGCAAACCTGATGGCTTAGACACTGTCCAGTTCCCAAGTTTACAACAAGTACGGATCTGGAAATTTTGGGATCCTTTCAATTTCGAGGAGATTAAATTTCAGAACAATAGCGTTCGAACAATTTGCACTATCGTGCATTGTCACTCAGACGCCGAGGGCCACGCCACAGCACATTTTGAAAGATACATTACTCCGCTTCAGGTATGTAATTCCAATGCGTTCAGGGGGAACCCTTTCTAATTTAGTCAGTCACATTTCAATCATCTCCGGGAGTGGCACATTCTTGCAGGTTCCGGGATAAATTCATTCGTAATCTTCAGATTCACTCAAGGCATCGAGGGACAGGGCTGGGAAGGGTTCAATTGTACCTACAGAGGACGTTTACTTGAAACTCAGAGTACAGAAGTAAAGCTCGAGTAAGAGGAGAGGAGTTTACTCATCAGCAGACTATAGAGGCTTTCCCCGCAATTATGCTGCTTTACTCGTACAGAGAGCAGCGATATGAAGAGCATGCGAACGCATTTTCTTACCATAATCAAATAGTAGAATTCAATGACTATTCAAGAGGCCAAGCAGTCTCATCCTCTTAAGGCTTGCGATAGTCCCTAACCGAGACCGAGCAAGACCCTTATTATACAGAAAGTGGGCTTCATCGCAGCTAAAATCACTTCTGCATCTATCAGGACATGCGCGGAGTCTAATAACTAGTAGACAGTAAACGATTGAGAACGACGGCAAGAAAACAATGCCATATCACATATGATTTAGTAGTATATGGAATGGACGAATACTGATACAACTTAATTCTTAGGGTGAAGCTGATTTGCGGGGCCTGAAACATACAACTATGGTCTAGGAACAGTCAGTAATCAGAATTGTATCATCCAGTGCTCTATATACCCAGGCCTGTAACAGGGTTTAGCGAGAGACTGTACTGCTATGCCAGGAATGGAAAGCTCGTATCCCACCACAAGTCACGACTCGTCAGCTCCTTTCTTGCCCTAGTCTCAGCTTAGCTAGCCCCAAAACGAATAACTATAAATGCATCGCTTATCCTCCACCAGACAGACCCCATTACTCTCCTATACATTCACACCTCAAGATATTCATTTAGTTTCTACATCTCAATTCTGTATCCATCCACATCAAGCATCACCAATCCCACGCAAACTCACATCCCACAATGTCATCCCCAACCATCTACCTCATCACCGGGGCCAGCAGAGGTACACACCACTTTTCTTATTCTCATCCCCATACCACACCACCCTCTTCGTCCAGCTTACCCACAAAATAATCCAGGGATTGGCCTCGCCCTCACCCAAACTCTCCTGCTCCTCCCAAACACCACTGTGATCGCTACCATGCGCAACCCCACCACGAACTCTCTCTATACTAACCCCCCACCAACATCCCCCACCTCAACCCTCATCCTCCTTCCCCTCGACATCCAATCCACCACCTCAATTACTACAGCCATCGAAACCCTCAAATCGAAACACAACATCACGCACATCGACACCGTGATTTCCAACGCAGGGTACTACAACGACGCCACCCACCGCGTCGACAACATCCCTCTCTCTACTGTGCAATCGCACTTGGACGTGAACACGCTTGGCACAATCCGCCTCTTCCAGGGTGTGTATGACATGCTGAAGAAGAGCACGAAGCCGATGTTTGTCAGTGTTAGTAGCTTCCTGGGGAGTATCGGCGGTCTCGAGGAGGAATTCTTTCCCGGGGCTGCATACGGGGTTAGTAAGGCTGCCAGTAACTGGGTGACGAGGAAAATGCATGTTGAGAATGAGGAGATGGTTTGTTTCATGGTTCATCCGGGGTGAGCTTACTATCTTGTGCTTAGGAGGTTGGGGTACTGATATGAAATGCGTAGGTTCGTCAAGACTGAGATGGGGAATGCGTGTGCGAAGAGTATTGGGTTGGAAGAGGCGTTTGCGGAGCCGAAGGAGTGTGCGGAGGCTTTGGTGAAGTTGGTAAGTCTATATTCTTATTTGTACTTCTTATATATTGGGGTGTGATACTGAGTAGACTAGATTGCAAGCGCCACGAGGGAAACAGTCGGAGGTCGGTTCATCAGTTGGAGAGGGGAAGAGGTTCCTTTCTAATTGGTAGAGATATAGGAGGCTGCTAGGAGATTGCATGTTGCGCTTGTTAGTAGAGTATACTAGAGCCTTTAACACATGACCTGATGAGCTTGTTCTCTATCTGTCCTATAAAAAGCCCTATCATCTTCCCCCTCGACCCATAATGCTCTCTAGAGATAGGCGTATTATTCACTCATCCCAGCATAACGACTCCTCGGATCCCTTCTATCCCGTATGCGCACTCACGTCCCCTACTAACCAATCGCCCCCATCGTGTATCATTTCATCCTAAACTCCGGATCCTCTCCGGAGTTAACCCCCTTAACCCCGATATACCTCGAAGATACTACATATATAACCTCCCACCATACACCAGAAACCAACAAGCAACAGTCCAAAACACCATACTAATCCAATCAAATATCGATCAGAAGAAGAAACTCTTCCAATATGCCCCTCATCTTCCTAACCGGCGGAAGCGGCTACCTCGGACACGCCATCACAACCCACGCTCTATCCAAGAACTACACCATCCACTCCCTCTCACGCAGTCCCGAAAGCGACGCCAAAATCACCTCCCTCGGCGCCGTTCCGATCCGTGGTGATCTCACCACACACTCCGTCCTCCGTGAGCAAAGCCAAAAAGCAGATATAGTCATCCACCTGGCGGACCCCATGGCAGGGAACTACAGCCTCCCATACGAAGAACGCATCCGTATCGACGACGAAGCCGTCACCGCCATCGCCGAGGGATTAGTGGGTACTAACAAGCCACTTGTTGTGACCTCCGGATCATTGGTAGTTGCTGCTACGGGAACAGAGACGGACGAGAACTCGGCACTATGGGAGGAAGGGAAGGCGCTGAATGAGCGGATTGTCTCTGAGAGGAAGAACCTGAGGTGGTGGGAGGAGAAAGGGGTAAGGGTTATTGTGATTCGGTTGCCGCCGTTTGTGTATGGACGGGGAGGGAGTGGGGTGGGGTTGTTCATGGGGATGTTTTGGAATGGTGGTGATGGGGGGAAGAAGGAGGTGAAGGTTGTGAAGGAGGCGGAGGAGGTGGTTACGTCTGCGGTGCATGTCGAGGATGCGGCCGACTTGTATTTGCTTGCTGCGGAGAGGGCCGGTGCTGGGGAGGTGTTTAATGGGTGTTCGGAGTGGGGAGTGACGTTTGGGGAGTTGGGGAGGGCCATGGCGGATGTTTTGGGGGTTGAGGTTGGGTTGGTTGGGTTTGAGGAGGCCAAGGGGGTGTGGGGGGAGTTCTTTGCTAGGTTTTTGAGTACGGAGAATAGGGCTTCTGGGGGGAAGGCGATGAGGGTGTTGGGGTGGGCGCCGAAGAAGGTTGGGATTGTGGAGGAGGTGAGGCATGGGTCGTATGTTGAGGTGGCGGAGAGGTTGAAAAATGGTGCTGCGTGAGGCTGGAAGTTGACTTGGGTTATGTATAAATGTGTTTGGTTGTGTATATTGTCTGCTATTAACAAGCATGATATCGATATCAAGCGGGATTTCGAAGATCTGATTAGCTATGGACATGGTAGGCACTTGACAGGCGTAGCATAGCTGTTACCCGCAGATGGCACAATACGCATTCTGAGAACTAAGCAACCTGGTCTTTCCGATAAGGAATAATTCTCACTGGAGCAATCAATCCGTAGTCTGCCTCATCCGGGGGCGACGGGACAACGGCAGTGGCAAGTTTCCCACTCGTCTCCAATTTATCCCAGTATGTCCGTAGCACATTGCCCAGAGGGGTACTAACAACTACCTCCACCGTATTCTGTCCCCGTCGAAGGAAATACCCAATATCCCACTTTGCCCAAGTGATTTCTCCCGGTGGCAGCACGTGTCCATTTACGGTGACGCGTGCCGTGTGCACAATGGGCCCAACATCGATTATCGCGCCGGATACCGTGCCATTGGTAGCCTGCGGAGGCCAGTCGAACGTTGTCGAGTAGTATCCGATTCCAGAAACATTGGCTAGAGACGCCGATACCTGGTTCCAGGGCAGTAGAGTCGGAAGATCAAACGTTTGGTTAGTGCGTTTCGGCCCCAACTCGACGTTGTAAAGGTCCGAAGGCGCCGTCCATGACTCGACTATCAGTGTCCAGTTGCCAAGCGTGATTGTAGGCGTTAGCATCGGGCCTAGGGTCACGGACTTGCCATTCGAAAGATAGATGTCCCGAGATTCCTGATCGACGGATCTAAGAACGGTGAGGGATGTGGCATTCCCAGTTGCTCCTAGGATTCCGCCTGTTGTATTCTGTAAGTGAAGAGTTGGCTGAAAGTTCTTGTGGAAACCGATGATTACGGACTGGTTTCCGGCCAGAGTCAGAGGTATTGTAACATGGTTCTCCGATTTCTGATAGATGGACAAGGCGCTGATATCACCGGACCAGGTATCGTAGAGGAAGGGCGTTCCCGTTGTCTCGAAGGATATTGTTCCTGATGAAATACCACCTCCAAATGGAACACCGGCTGCATCATTGTACACATAGACATAGTCCGTAAGTGTCTTTGTATCGTGCCGCCAAGTGGTGTACCAGGTGCGGTTCGCACTCACGGACGTACGCGGAAGTATGCCTAGAGATCTGAGTGTTGCCGCCAGGTTGTCATACGGTACGATGTGAACGTTATTTGAAGAAGTTAGGTTCTTAATTGTGCTGACGGCTAGACTTGCAGCTTCTGGATTGTACCCGCTGAAGTTCGATGGCAGTCCACCGGAGAAGATAATCGGGAGCTTGGAATGAGCGTATTCAACAAGTTTCGCAACTCCAGACGCTGTCAGGGTCTCGTTTGCTCGCACAACGAGGGCTTTGAAGGCCTGCTGGTTAGGTGCAAAAGTGCCATTGGAGACGAACGCCCCGGGTAGCGCAAAGTTGTCAGGGCTTAGGTATTCATATGTATAGCCTGCGAACCAGACTTTAGCTAAGCATCATAAACCCTCCGGTCCAGGGTGGAGCTGCTTACCTGCGCTCTGTAAATCGACAGGACTGTAAACAGTTGGCACAGTCTTGTATGTGGTAGACTTCGACCAAAAGGCAATGTCCACCTTAGGGATACCTGTCTGTTCCACGAACTGGTTCCGGGAGAGCCAATCGAGAAAATCACTGTAATAAGCAAAAGCCGGCTGACGAGGACCATGCATTTCTGAAAACAGATACGAGAATGTTGTAAACCCGGGCCACGTTGTGTTTCCGTAATTTCCAGAGTTTGGGTATCCGTGAAGCACAAACTGGTTGACGGAGCCGGCAAAAGAACGTTTCAGGGTCCACAAGAGCTCAGGTATGGATTCCTGGTAGACTTTCGACAACTCTGCGCCAGCCTCATTGGTGATAATGCGCTTCCCAGCAAGATGCGCGGGACCTGCAAATTGCCTGTAGCTGTCAATATTATCGCTGAAACCTAGTGTCTCGCACTCGGGACCGTTGACGTAGGGTACGTTGGCAAGCATGTCCATAGGCAGATTGTAAACTACCTGTGCGGAGAATTGGATACCAAGGTCATTGCTCCATTGTTTTAAAGACGTGAGATACTCGGCGTTCAGTTCTGTGAGCTACTCAAGTCAGCGTTTAACTCCTTCCTCATATGGGAGGAGGCACACGAACTGTTTGCTGATAGTCCATTGTATGACTGGCACCTGCATCAAGCTCATCAGTAACATAGGTAATATCTGGAATCGATCCGCCTCCAGATCCAATCAGAAGTGGAATGAATCTGTTGATACTGTAGCCTCGGTTGGCTTGGAACACCTCTTGGAGGCGCGGAGTCCAGAATGTGGAGACGGTGAACTCCTGGCTATCTTCCCAGAGGTAATTGCCCACTTCACGAATCAGTGCGCCTGTCTCGCTGTCCAGCAATGACTGTCTCCAAAAGTCTACAACTGCCAACGCGCCTTGGGAAGAGAAATGATCCACAACCCATGACCCGTTCTGCGGGTAAGTCGTCACGGGCGATTGAGGGACAGCGGCCGTAACATCAGCAGGACTCTGGACCTCACGATATTCGGAATGAACCAAATAATAGGTGAAAAGATACTTAGAACCTCCTGCAGTATCGTTTACTTTGACCTGAAGATGCCCATTGGAGCTGACGAGATTTGTGACGTCCAGTAACGAGCTTTCCGCTAGTATTTTGTATGTATCATTGCTTGGACTGGTCGAGTTGACCTGGGCGGTAACAGCTGCAATCAGAGGGCCCGCACACAATTCCATCAAAGCCTTCGTCGCTGGACAATGTCGAGTTGAACCCGGCCAAATCCCACAAAAGGCCACCATCGTTGTAGGGCGCCGGAACACCAGCACCTTGGTTTGGCCCAATGGCCAAGTCCACGAGTAGATCACATTCTTTTGCCGCCGTCAGGACAGTGTCGACTAGATCCTCTAGTTAACATATTAGTATATCACTTGAGCAGAATCATGGGCTGCAGCAGGGCATACTCCAGGCAGGGCTTCCAAAACCGAATATAGTCCAATCTGTTTGCAGGGGGCATTGTAGTTGTCCATCTAGATTCGACGAATCTCCATACAGATAATAACCGAGTAACTCAAGCCCACCTGCCCCAGCTTTACCCATGGCCTTTACGTCTTCTGCTACCACGCTCAGGTTCATGGATGCATCATTCACCCAGTAGCGGAAACGTGGTCGCACATTGGATGAGGGATTTTGAAAGCTGCCATAATCGATGTCAGGTTCGACTTGGTCATTAGTCCCGGTAGCGAACACACTCTGAACAAGTAAAGCAGTGTTTATTAAACGATACGATAAATGCATCCTCGTTTTATGTGGTTTGATCCCGTTCCTGGTGAGAATGGTATGAATCTCGAGAATCATACATCATACTATATAAATATCTGATAGACCATCCACCCATTGTGCTCTGACGAGTCTGATGAGGAGTCAAGCGACTCGGTACAATTCTGAGCCGAAATGAAGCAGTCAGGCAGCAGATCTTTGGATGAATACTTGCTCGGTAATGCATGGAGCTGACGAGGGGACCGGACTAAAGTGTGATCATGGGATTCTTTGCAACGAGCTGAGTAGTCCCAGGAACGTGGAAGCTTTGGCCTCCTCCACTACTGTGGGCGAGAAATACAGCTCGGTCTGATTGCAGCCGATTACCAAACGTCGTACTCGTATAGACGGGTTGAATGATATCCTGCTGCGTGTCTGTTTAGTGTCTGATACCCTGCATCGGCCCCACTTGTGCGGGGCCCCGGGTATACCGAGAGAAAAGAGGAGAATGAGATAATCTGGGAAAAAGGATGCCTTGATGTTGCAGGACCCCGCAGTGATACTATCACACCTTCACGAACCATTTGCGAAGTCCGAGGCGAATTAGTGAACAACTTTGATGTACACATTCTCAAGGTAATGATCAGCAGCGGAGAAACGAACAACTGAGACTAGTCCGTTCCTAGTCCCTCATCCTTGAATACTTCAGGTACACCAGAACAGTAGTGATCCTTGCCTAGTAACAGTGAAGTTACCCATTGGTATGCAATCTGCTTTACATGCTTGGAGCCATTTCTCGCACCGAGACTGGCCTTAGCGAAGTGGCTGTGCTTTTTTGGCTGGCCAAAGGTGTATTTCGCCTTTAGTTCGATAAATCCTCAGCATCATGTGTGGTATTATAGATAGCCATCACTATGTCACAGAAACGCGCCAGTGTGTGGAAACAAGCTTTATCGGTCGATGCTAAGTTATGGCTTCCAGACGCGAGAGTAGTTCGGCCGAACAATTGTTCGTGACGTGCCACAGGAGTGAACATATGTAGACAGCACTGTCATGAGGGGAAAACAGACCATGTGTGCGGCATCCAAAAAAAAAGGAAATCTGAATAGTCCTGTAGAGTATATGCTATAACAGGTTATTGATCACTAACTGAGGCCATGACCTTCCAGACGGCTTGAAGCAAGCACCGGTGTCCCTCACGCCTGCATGCCGAGTCACCTCAGATTGGTCGAGAGGTTGTACGACTTGAACGTGATATGATGTGGCAGAATAGCCACCACCATCATAGACAGATGTTTGGAGTAGAAGGGGTTAGACAGAGAGAGAGAGAGAAAGAGAGAGAGATCGAGGTAGAATGTATAGAGTGTATGGGCTGATCGATCGGCAACAAATTGGCGTGCTCTGATTGGCTGGAATGGTCTCGGCCTTCGGGCTTCCGAACGCGAGACTCGCCGAGTTTCAACCAGAAATTCTGGCCTGGCAAGCCTTGAACAGCTTCATTCTCTCTTCATCCGCCCATCATGGCATCCTTGGGGCCTTCCGTGCCCTTGCTGCGAAGCTTGTCTCCCCGGCTATCGAGGGAGCTCTTCACCTGCCGCCAATGTTTGGTCCGCACTCAGAATCACGCGACTAAATCCGCCTTCCGCAGACAATTCTCCGCCCTGCCCTTCACCCAGAACTCCAACAGCAGAGCCAACTCTGCCCTGCAGTCGAGGGCCAGAAAGCTTTTTGCGTCTAGCCTGAAAAGAAGTGCCTCCGGATCAGCAACGGCGGAGGCAATTGCTGCCCAGGGAGAAGCCGCGAAAGCCAAATCGAGCTTCCCGGATGTGAGCGATAAGAAAGTGGCCTACTGGCTACTGGCCAGCGCGGCCAGCGTGTTTGGCATTGTAGTTTTTGGCGGCCTTACCAGGTTGACTGAATCAGGGTATGGTCCTTCCATCCATTGCTATATTTCGGACCAATGCTAACGCAGCCATTTTATAGTCTGAGTATCACCGAATGGCGCCCTGTCACCGGATCCCTCCCCCCCATGAACGCCGAAGACTGGGAGTCAGAATTCTCCAAGTACCGTGCCTCCCCCGAATTTCAGCTTTTGAACCCGCATATGACCCTCTCCGAATTCAAGTCGATTTACTACATGGAATGGATCCACCGTCTCTGGGGCCGCTTTGTCGGCTTGTCGTTCGTCCTCCCGGCCGCATACTTCGTTGCTGCGAAAAAGGTTAGCAAGCCTATGGCTCTGCGTCTCGCTGGTATCGCAGGCTTGATCGGATTCCAAGGTTTTATCGGCTGGTGGATGGTCAAGTCTGGCCTGAAGGATGATCTTTTCGCTCCCGGCAGCCACCCTCGTGTCAGCCAGTACCGTCTGACAGCGCATCTGGGTGCGGCTTTCGTCTGCTATACTGCTATGCTCTGGAACGGACTTGCTATCCTGCGCTCCCACCGATTGCTCGCCGACCCGGAGGCTGGAATCAAGCTTCTTGACGCGCTCCGTGACCCTAAGCTCAAGATCTTCCGTCGCTCCGTCGCCGCTTTGGCTGCATTGGTTTTCGTGACTGCCATGTCGGGTGCCCTGGTCGCTGGCCTGGATGCTGGTCTCATCTATAACGAGTTCCCATTCATGGGTAATGGCCTGGCTCCTCCTAAGTCTGAATTGTTTGATGAACGGTACTCTCGCCACGAGGACAGATCAGACCTGTGGTGGAGAAACATGCTGGAGAATCCTTCCCTGGTGCAACTGGACCACCGCGCTCTGGCCATAACTACCTTCACGAGCATCATGGCTCTGTTGGCCTACACTCGCGGATCCCCCACCATGAAACGCCTTTTGCCCCCCGCTGCGAAGAAGGGTGTCCACGGTGTGGTCGCTTTCGCTTGCATGCAGGTTGGTCTGGGTATCTCGACGCTTCTTTACCTTGTTCCCACGCCTTTGGCCTCTGCCCACCAGGCGGGAAGTCTTTTCCTTCTTACCTGGGTGCTTGTCCTGGGAAGCCGTATCTGGCACCCGTCTAGGACGGCTAAGCTGCTTCAGATGGCAGCCAAGGCCCGTGGACAGGCTCTCGCCAATGCCGCGGCCCATGCGCCCCGGAGGATATAAGGGCCAAATATGACGAACAGACAGGAGTTCTGGACTACATCCTACATGTATTATACTGCCACAGAGTGGCCCTGTATGTCTACTAAAATCTCTACTTCACGTATTTGTATAATATGATCACGTACCACTGAATTTGTCTCTGCCGGATTAGCTTAATACTGCAATCGTAGTAGTCATAATCCAAATTCTGCTGGCATCGGGCAACAGCATAATGGAGAATGACGGAGGAAGTCGGCGCCTACCTCTTTCCGAATATTATGCCTGTGTTGAAGGCCGGCTCTCGTCTCTCGCACAGGCATATCTTTCCTTCTGCCCAACTGTTCCACACACAGAGTGCGAGCAAATTAAGACAGAGAATAGCCAACGACATTTCATAGCAATGAACGAAAATGGTGTTGTGGCACCATGACACATGGTGAAAAGCCAAAGGGCGGAAGTTCGTTGCTGGAGCAGTAGTCGAATAACAGCACTTCAAAAGATAGTTATCTATTTCATGTGACACACTCCTCAGTTGCCCTGTCTGTCTGCTGGGTTTCGAATTGTTCGCGAGCACGTTTTGCCAGGATGAGACAGGAAGCATGTCTAGTTTGTCTCTCTTCCTCAGAGGTGGTGGACCCTATAAACGCTGTAAGAAAGAGCTATGTTTTAGACCTACTGTATCTGTCACCTACCACTTTCACTTCTGCGACTAGCAGAGTCTTCAAGACCCAAAGCATACAGCATCTCCGCACCCTCCGCTGTCTCGGGAGCTCGGGCACCGTCCAAGTCTGCTTCCCCAGTGTTAGGAGAAGCTGCCGGGGACGGAGCAGGAGCAGGCGCAGCTCCAGGCGCTGGTTCTTGACCACGTTGGCGATTTCCACGGTGGCCTCGTCCGTTTCTCCTTCCCCATCCTCCAATCTGTTCTCCTCTCCTCCTTCTACTGTATCTCCACCCCCTGGCATGGCCCCTCTGTCTTGACAACCCCCTCATTGACATCCATCCCCCTAGTCTGGCCACTCTGCGTTCGTGATCAATCGCCGCCTGGGTCCGCAACTCCGATATATCGACAGGGGAGAAATGTCTCCTGCCTTGGAACTGATGGGATCGACGGCCACCAGTTTCAATCGTGCACGCACGACATTCTCGCCATCCACATGATTTGCACTGTGACATGGCATTCTGCATGTTGAAGAGTTCGCAACTGTCGCAGACATCTTCGTAGGCTTCTATGTACCGGAACTCAGTGTGGATTTCTGAGACTGGGCTCTGGTCTGCGGTCGTGTCGTTTGGGGCGGTTGTAGACCGGGAATCCATGGCAGTTCGAGTAGTGAAACTAGGTGTCTCACTGGTAATGGCTCGGTACTAGCTGGATGTGGCTGTAATAGTCAGTACTAGTGGTCGAGATGAGTAGATAATTCTCCGAAGTATATATACATCTTCTTTGTCTTCTAGAATACTTATCTTCGAAAGAAATTGTGGAGATGTACAGCTGTTGCGCAGGGAAATGCCGGTGTGATTGAGTTATGCTCTCGGGAGTTTGGAGTTCCTATGCGCGACAAGTCCGTTGGGGCTCACAGTTCAGTTTGTTATAGCTGAAGGGAAATTGAACATCGGGCTTGCTAGACTTGGAGGAATATTCCAGTAACTATCATGTCCCATGACCAGTGAATATGACACACAGCCACTGGCAGTAACTGGGTTGACAGACCACGGATGTGAATCCTTACGGAATTTACAATTGCCTTTCTACTTAATAGGTGGATATATAGAGACCAATGCAAACAGTAGCCAGTACTATTAATAGTTTCTCACTTAGCAAAGAAGTTGACAATAGGTAGATATCAAATACCAGTCCCTCTGAACGCATACAATAGACTGCGAAAGGAAGCCTTTTCTAGAATTGAGAAAATTCGTGAAATAGTTGTGGGCATACTTAGGAAAAAGACAATATATACAGGCCAAGCATAGTATTACTACCAGTATCTCTATCGATCTTTATCGGAACTTCCCTACGGAAAGCCCCGGACCATCATCACCATAATCCTCCGACGGAAACTGCCCCATAAATAGATTTATGCTTTATCGTTGGAAGCTAGCGCAGTGCATTTTACACTTATCATCCTTACGCTTCAACCCAACTACTAGAGAGCAAACTGGATTCGACACTGGCTGATAAGGCTAAGGCTTGTATCTACCCTACTGATTACCACAACTACGAAGTAGAGTGACAGTAACTCATCAAGAAAGAACTGTTCGGTGCTAGTAATACTCATATTATTTTCCAAGCTTTCATTGTTGTTTTATGATACTAGCAAACTACTACTTTGTAGATCTCGTTCAGACAAACTCCTACTCAGTGAGAAACATCGTCTAAATGCCCACTTTGATATGAGCACATTACAGCTTTATCAGAATGCATTATCTGCTCAATAATCGTAGCGCACTTACTACCCCCCATCTAACCCAAGAAGAATTACTTAACACGTCTACACAATGCTCCCCATGACCACTAGTATACCCAATGTATATCTGCCTAAGGCATCAATATAGCGGGAGGTAATATGTCAGTAGTGATGGCAATTACTCTTACCGCTTCCTTGACCGCCATAAGCGGCAGAAACTAGTGAACCTCGTTGAAAAAACCTCGGATTTAGCGGGTTTTAGGAACATACAGTTCCCAGAAACCTCATCTGAGATTCGGTTAAAATTGGCGGCGCTATGTGGCAGTATTTTGGAGTTAGTCGGTGTACCGCTTTATACCAATGTAGTGGATCCTGCGTTTATCATCTCCCGGCGCTAAACCACATCCGGTACCCCTGCCCTCCTCGTCAACTCTACATCAACTATCTCATCCCGAGGGGAACCTGACGACATAACAATCAAATCACCTTTTTGTCATCTCATGACTCACACCGACAAGGCAAAGACAAAGGTCTAAAATCCCGCAACCAATCTTCCCTATCCGCTTTAACCCCTCTGCCAACAGTAGACAAGATGGCCGAGGGGTCTAAGGCACCGTTAGCCAGGGTCACCTGACTGCGGTCCCGAAAGGGGCGTGGGTTCGAATCCCACTCTTGTCCTGCTTGCGGCGGATTTCAACAAGCCATTCTCTTCTTTTTTATTATTCAGCACGGGGGGTATGTTACTTTCTTAAGATAAATACTATAAGGGTCATGAGGTGGGTATATAATAGAGGGAGGGTAAAGATATTTACTACATCTGTGGCATCTATTATCATTTTATGCATTTCTTCATTGACATCCGAGTACCATGCAACTAGTCATCAGAGAAAACTAACATCTAATAAGCAGTTCATCACATTTATCTATTTGTGGGCTGTAATCCACTAGTTAGCTATAAAGTTCTCTTGTCCTAGGAAGAATAAAAGGTGGTGGACTTACCGATACCCTCCTCAGGCTGAGGCTCAATGCCAACCACCTCCGCGGCGGGCTTGGTATCATGTGCAGTCTTGTCCTCCTTCATGAAGGGGAAGGCCAGCACCTCCTTGATGCTGTAGTTGTCCGTCAGGAACATGACCAACCGGTCAATACCCATACCCCAACCACCAGTGGGAGGCAGGCCGTATTCCAAGCTGGTACAGAAGTTCTCATCGATGATCTGCGCCTCGTCGTCACCCTGGTCCTTCTGGCGAGCCTGCTCCTCGAAACGCAGGCGCTGGTCGAACGGATCGTTCAACTCGGTGTAGGCGTTGACAATCTCCTTCTTGCAGACGAAAGCCTCGAAACGCTCGCACAGACCGACGTTCTGGCGGTGGTACTTGGCCAGAGGAGACATCATCTGGGGGTGGCCAGTGATGAAGGTGGGGTTGACGCAGGTCTCCTCGATGAACTCACCAACCAGCTTGTCGAGCATGCGAGCGTTGGTCATCGGGGGAGAGCACTCAACACCGGTCTTCTTGAGCACGCGCTTGAGGAACTCGCCGGTCTCGGCGGTGTGGAGCTGGTCACCCGGAGGGAACTTCTCGCCAGTGGCCTCCTCAAGGGCGGGGATCATCTCCACGCGGCGCCAGGGGGCCTTCCAGTTGACGTTGTAGGTCTCGCCAGACTGGGTGTGGAAGGTGGTCTCGTAACCACCGGTGATGTGCTTCACGAGACCGGAAACCAGCTCCTCGGTCAGGTTCATGACATCGTAGACATCGGCGTAGGCCCAGTAGAACTCGCAGGTGGTGAATTCGGGGTTGTGAGTGAGGTCAATACCCTCGTTACGGAACTGGCGACCAAGCTCGTACACACGCTCGAGACCACCGACGATCAGCATCTTCAGGTACAGCTCGGGAGCAACACGCATGAACAGGTTCATGTCGAGGTCGTTGTGGTGAGTAACGAAGGGCTTGGCGGTGGCACCACCAGCGATGGCGTTCATCATGGGAGTCTCAACTTCGACGAAGTCGCGGTTGTCGAAGAAGTTGCGGATGTAGCGCACAATCTTGGAACGGGTGACGAAGACGTTGCGGGACTTGTCGTTCATGATCAAATCCAGGTAGCGCTGGCGGAAGCGCTGCTCCTTGTCCTGCAGACCGAAGTGCTCGGACGGGATGGCGTGCAAGCAGGGAGAAAGAAGGACCACCTCCGTAGCGAAGATGGACAGCTCACCGTCGGCACGGTTCTTGGGGCTGGTACGGCCGGGGAAACCGACGATACCGACGATGTCACCACGGCGGAGGTGCTCGTGCTGAGCCTCGAAAGGCACGCCGCCAGTGGCGTGCTGAGCCTGAGCGACGACCTGGACCTTGACACCCTCGGCGCGGATATCGTAGAAGATCAGCTTGGCGCCGGAAGCACGCTTAGTGTAGATACGACCGGCGATGCGGACGGCGACCTCGGGCTTCTGCTCGCCCTTGGCGAGACCCTCGTAATCAGTGAGGTACTTGCGCAGATCATCGGTAACCTGGAACTTGTGGGGGTAGGGGTCGGGGTTCTTGGTCTCGCGCAGCTTGTTGATTCTCTTGCTGCGGATCTCGAAGTATTGCTGTAGAAGAGGAGATGAGCGGGAATGTTAGCAAAGATGCGACAATGGATCCCCCGACAGCACACAAAGAAGCGCCCCCCAAGGGACGAATAGGAAGAAAATGACTCACGTTGGGGGTGAGGTTGGCCTCCTCATCCTCGGCGGAAGTCTTCTTCTCGGCCTTGGGAGGAGCAGCGGCCTCCTTCTCCTTCTTCTTGGCTTCCTTCTCACGGTTCTTCTGGCGTCTCTTCAACTCGGACTTGGAGACCTTCTCGCCGGTCACCTCATCGAGGAGGAGGTTGGCCATGGAGGCCTCGGCCTCCTTAACAGCATTGTTATCAGCCATGGTGATGGACGGGGGGTAATTGCTCGGTCTCAATCACCGTGGGAACAAGACGATGAGAAGGGAAAGAAAGGTAAGTGGAGGGATCGATCGATGACACACAAGATGGTGGGCTGAAGTCGGAGGGAACGAGAATTTTGGGCGGGAGTCGCCGCCGGCGATCCTCATTGGGCACCGCGAGGGGCAGCTTCCCCCCGCCCAGCCAGTCCTTAAGTAATCGTCTGTTCTTTGGACTCGGCCTCCTGTTTATCATCATTGCGCGAGTCTAGTAGAAAGTACCAAATGTTCCCATTGAATTGCATTCAATAGCTTGTAATCATTCTATCTAACCTCTTTCCTTTTCCATTGGGTACATGCTGTCATACACCATTCGAGCCTATCGCAAGCAGGGTTTAGGGCTTAGGGCATCAAAGTGGGGTTCCCTACCCCGCCTCGATGCTTGCGGTCAATCCATCCATTCATCATTATGATGTTCCAGCTTCAACTGCAACTTTGTCCAACAATCCACTCACATGGTCCAGCCACCGCTCTATCACAATTGACGCCCAAGTAGACTCTGTTGTCACAGCGCACTGCGGACAGACAAATGCTCACACAAGTCTCGCCAAGCCGGAATCAAGTAGTCCAATCGTCGGGAGGCTGGGACTTGATTCTCACATTATCGAACGGGTCTTCCTGGTCGTCCTCCTTCCTCGCCAGCTTTAGCCACTCCTGGGCCTTATCGATTCGCTCCTTCTCTCTGAGAAGGAATTGGCGGCGTCTCTGGCGGTCAGGGTCCTCCTCCATAAGTTCTAAACAACGTTCCAGTGCTGGGAGCAAGACGACGTCTTAGTATCTACCATGTGCAAGATAGATGGAGAGAAACGTACCGTTTTCATCGAAGATACAAAGCTCTCTTTCAATCTCCTTTATGAGGTCATCACGACATTTTGCGAACAATTTAGTGTGCACGCTCTGGCAAATCGAATCAATAAACCGCGAACTCGCCAAGTCGTAGTATCCTCGACTCGTCTAGCCAGGACAGTTAGTCTATAAAGAGCCAAGAGTTTGCCATGAAACCAACTTACCGCCATCATGGTCAGCTCCTGCGAGAACTGGTCGCGCCCCAGCTCGACATCTGTAAGCTTTTTAAGCTCAGCTTCCCGTCGGGCGTCTCCTCGAGGGTACTTTCCCTGAGCATCGAGGTAAGAGCTTGCGCGAGCAAATCGACGCTTTTCCGCAAGAAAAATGTAAGCAGACTTGATTGATTGGTCCAATGCCGAAAGTGCCAATGTGAAGGGTTTATTGTATTCGATATTAAAGTTTTCCTGTGCGTGTTCAAAGTGGGCTGCCCGTAGCTTATACAAAAAGCCTTCAATGATTCTCTTGAGTTCTCGATATAAGCCCGTCTGATGGTATTGCAGAAAGACTTCATCCAGCTGCTTGTGCAGCATGTCCCGGACAAGTCGATGGGTGGCAACCAGGAACACTGACAGTGGGTCGTACCAGTGCTTTACGCTCATCTGGTTCATGATCTCAATGGCTTTTGGGTCCGTCTGGTCTGGCAGTCCAGCTCGATACGAATCCTCGTTTATCTCGCGAATCATTTCCCATGTAAACGTCAGGGCCGGGGCGTTGAACTTGTCGAAATGTTCTGTCGAGTACAATCCATTTCCGGTCAGTCTTGTTGCTGAATTTGGCTGTTATCTCGCTTCTGGTGCGACTGAAATATTTCCAGGCTCACCAGGTGACTTGCGTTTGGCCGGCTGTGGGACCGTTGTCATCTCGCAGTCTGAATCGCTTCCCTCCGCATCGCGGCCCGTCGGACCAGGGAACTTATCACTTGAAGAGAGCAAGTGCACAGTGGGCCGAGTCTTGATCAGAGCTCGCTTGAAATCCATGGCAATATGCGACCAAATCTTCTGTAGAGGGTAATTTGCTGACCCGCCATCAATGTGAGCGCGGATCTGATCCTTCAGTTGATTCAGCTTGCCGCAAATAATATATGGAACGTTTGCGGAGGGGGGATCTGGAAGAGTCCGAAGTTCGGTCTCGATTCGATCTGCTTTGGCGTTTATCTTCTCAATAAAGTCCGGTAAACATCCTTGAATCTGTTCAAGAAGGAGGGAGGAGAGAGCCGTTTGTAATCGGCGTGTCCCAAACTTCTCTTGATAGAGAGCCAAATCTGTTGCCCAGGGCGGGCTTGCGAAGAAAGCATCCTCTTCTTCCCGAGCCACATAGTGCTCTACAGCCGGGTCGGGATTGTTACGAACGACGAAGTACCCATGGCCAAGCGAAAACTTGTCCCCTTCAAGTATTTCGACCCACTGGGCAAATGATTCCCCGGTCTGTACGCGGTCGGGTTTCGTTAGAACGCCCATTGTTCTAGCATTCGCCCCACGGATCTCTTGCATAATTCGTGCCGCGCTCGAATTAGTTGCATCGTTCGTCATCGGCAATGTCAACAGGACGATACAGTGTTGCTGCAGAATGTAATGCTTGACAAGGTTCTCGACCAGAAAGACAAGATAGCGCTCTTCTTCGTGTTCGGCTTGGCTGATGACACCAGGTAAGTCGTAGAATGATAGGCTAGGAAAGCCTGGAGCCGTAATATCTAGTCGGACGACGTTGGGCGAGAATTTTACCTGACAATAACCAGGATCTGTTTCGCTGTTTTGCCCCGGCAAGTATTCGCTTGATGGCCGGCCTGGATTCAGGATGGCGAGCTGCGCCCATCTAATGACTTCTTCGAGGTCGAGCTTGTTTGTCAGTGTCGTGAAAAGCTCATCTTCCTGTTGCTCTTGCTCCACCCAAGGCCCGAGGGACTGGGACTTTTTCGAAATTTTGCCAATCTTCTTAGAGGCGTCAAACATGTACTTCCGCGACAAGAAGACCTTGCAAGTCCAGGGCTGGTCAGGCTCCCCATCACAGAGATTGATCTCCATGGGACATCTGGTACAGGTCCCTGCGCTTCGTGGCACCTTGATCTCGCTCATTCCCTCGATCAAAGAGCTTTTACCGGCACTCTGGTCACCAATGACGCAGATTTTTGGAAGCACAATCATCTTGTCCTCGATTCCGATGTGGCGTAGATCTTGTATTTTTCGGACCAGCTCCTTCATGTCGCTGGCGATCAGGTTAATAGAGTCCATCTCAGCGGCTTCGGGAGGCGTCATCTTGCTAGCCCGAGAAATCGCTAAAAAGGTGTAAGTGATGGCTGAAGGGTGAATCGGTCAGTAGGACTCACTGGGAGATATACTTTCTGGTTCAGCCGTGTAATTGCTGGATGGGGTACGTCGTATTTCTAAGGTGAGTAATGACATCAAAGTCTCTGGTATTCTAGATTGTAGAGACCTGACGAAATCAAGAGAGTGTGGGGTAAGAAACAGAGAGTTACAAGGAGACTTTCGAGAGAGCCTAGATTAATGGAGACGCGCAATTTGTAGCAGAAGCTTGACTGTACGAAGAAGTGCAAGAAGGCTACAAGCGAGCAGGTTTAGTTGGGAAAGAAGACAAGAGATCTAGCCATGAGAGAAAGGTGTTATGAAGCAAGTTTAAAGTACTATCCAGTGAATGGCAGGTAGAAAGGAGGCCAACAGGGACTAGTAGATAGACAACTGTGAGCCATGGTCAATTCACTAGGACAAATACAAAAGAGACGGGAGTGTACTAGTCCCAGTAAGGATCAAGTGAGATCTACAGGAGAACTGTGTTAGAGAGGTCAACTTCACATCTGCAGGAACCCTGACAGTTGCAGCATGAAACGAAGCCAGATCGGGAAGAATGCTCTATTGTC